GTCCAGGGATCGAAATAAGTGGTAATCCGATGGCGCGAGATCGGGGCTATATGGTGGGTGTAACATCAATTCCCAACCAATATCCATCAATTTTTGCCGAGTGGAGAAAGACGTGAGCGGCCTAGCATTGTCCTGCTGGAAAATGGACCTTTACGATTGACCAATTCTGGTCGCTTTTCCTTGACCGCTGCATTCAATTTGTCCAGTTGCTAACATTCACGGATAATAAGAAATAACATAATAATAATAATAATAATAATAATAATAATAATAATAATTTTATAATATAACATTTACGGATATCATAAAAATGGGAGTGAGAGACATCTATAACTGAAATCGGTAATTACTTAGTTCCCAACCCAATAGTTACTGGGAGCCTATTAATAGGCTTTTCAATGACCAAGCTATGTGGTAAAAGAAGTTCGATAATTTTCTCTTAACTCTTTGCAGTCGGAATTATTTTAGTGTGTTTGTATTTCTCGTTAATTATGATCGTTTTTCCTCTTTGGATAAGGGAGGTATCTAAATTATCTCCGGATATTATTGAACTACAAGAAAATCATCTTAGTATCAAAAAACATAAAAAAAATCATAAAAAATCATCAAGTATCATTTTGTTGTTGGGAATGTCCCACACTTCAACCACAAATGAGTCAAATAATAATTTATAAAAGAACTTATTACACATCATATTAATCTAAATAATTTCATAGATTATGGAAGAGATTAGTGTAGTGAACAATTTTTTTTTAAATTCTTAACTGTTGGTCTTCGATTTTGAAATAATTAGTAGAAAACTGCCGGTAGATAAATTCTGAAGTATATTATATCGTGGACTAAGGATTTTAATGCCAAGAATAAAATCTTCTAAGTAATTTGTAAGGGAACAAATGAATAACGAAGTTAGTAAATAAAATTTGTACGAATAATAAAAAAATTCACCGTTTCAATTGCATCAATTTAATGCATTATTCTGTATTCAGGAAATCTTATAATTATATTTTTGCCTGAAAATGTTATTTAATACAGACTGATCAAGGTATCAAGAACCTTCTGGCAGAGAAGGCGGCGCAATTGAGCGGCACCGATCCCGATTATTCTATAAGAGACCTTTACAACGCGATCGCCAGTAACCGATGTCCAAGCTGGACGTTCTACATTCAAGTTATGACTGCCAGCCAGGCGAAGACCTTCAAATGGAATCCATTCGACGTGACCAAGGTAATGATCTACGAACGATCAGGGATCAACCAGATCGCCTATGAAACTGGATCAATTGAATACTAACAGGAATAGTTGCATTTAAATTTTATGCTCTTGCTATGTGCAACAGTTTCAATGAAAAAAAACCCCAGGCATTCGATCATCGACTGATGATGAATTTACCTGGCGGGTGTATTCAGATAAAGCTTTAACCCTTTGCACTCCGCTGTCCCCTCTCGTGGGACATCGTAATTCTAGCATATCACTCGGATGTCCCCTCTCGTGGGACATTCAAGTTTATTAGCGATTACGGGGAATTCAGTTATTTCGGCGCAACTTTTTCAGACGTGCATGTTTCAATTTTTCAATAAGCCATCGATTGAAAACCCTCTCAATTTTTAAGTCCTTGTCCCCATCACAGTGATAGGGTGGGGGAGGGGAAGTAGCAAATGATGCGTTATTTTTTCTGTTCTACTCATCGGAAAAGTCTGAAAAAATTCATAAATCTTCTACCGCATGGGACACAAAACATAACCTTTTCAAAACGCGAGTTTTTTCATCTTCATTTCGTGTTCCAAGCGATAATAAAATTGAAAATGAAGCGTTTCAGTCATTGCACAGTATACCAGTCCCTTTAACATCTCGAAAAAAATTCAATTAATTCATTCCAGTCTGAACGGAGGTTAGTTTACTTAGTCTAGATATCATAAGTGTATGTACAGTGGCCCACAAAAATGTTCGCACACCTTTTAAAATAATAAATTGAACTGAATGCAATAACTGAACCGAATGACCTGAATTTTCTTTAGACGACAAAGGCACCAGTCTACTAGACAATAACTGAAATGATTTCTTCAGTCACTTAAGAAGGTATTCTTCTACAGTTAGTCTATCGTTTTGATAGCAGCGATAGTGATATCGTCCAAGCAACAAGGCGACGAGAGAAAGAGTTCGCATAGATAGCGATTACAACAACAAAACAAAATTATAAAACAAACAATAACAAAATTCTAAAAAATAAAATATTGATTTTTTTGCAAATTTCTCGATTTCAGCCAAATTCATATAAGTCCAATATCATTATAATGTGTTAGTTCCAAAACCATACTAAATAATACGAGGGTCTGTAAATGCCCGTTTCTGCCGAAAAGTGGCGCTGAGTAGCTGGTAGCCAACGTCCAGAATGGTTCGGAGTGCTAAGGGTTAATAATTATTCAATCATTTTCATTGCAATCTGATATTACAATTGACATCTGAAAAACTATCCAAATGTATTTTTAGCCATGTAGTTTCATGTTTTTAAACTCGGCCTGTTGATCCGCAAGAATAGTCATCATCAGTCACATTTTGTATTTGCATTTTAACGAAAAGTATTATTTTACACCTGGATAGGATGACGTCAGAGTAGAGTAATGAACAAATTCTTGGTTTCAAATTCAATAGGTATGGCCGCACAAGGAATTCCCGCTTATCCCCGTCGGTAAGCTAGTGCTGGATCGGAATCCTGAGAGCTACTTTGCTGACGTGGAACAAATGGCCTTTGACCCTGCTCACATGGTACCTGGCATTGAACCGAGCCCTGACAAAATGTTGCAAGGCCGTCTGTTCGCTTACGGAGACACTCACAGGCATCGTCTTGGCCCTAACCATCTCCAATTGCCCGTCAACTGTCCATACAAAGTAATTTCTCGATTTCTTTTTCTTTGCATGCCATTTGTAACTCATGCGATTTCATGGAAATCGATATATCCCTTTGCAATCTCCTTTTTATTTCAGAATATGCTATATATAAAATTAATCATTTATTCAACAGTTGAGAAATTCTACAATTGTTGTTACATACCATGTAATTGCGGTGTTGTTCACGAATGTAATGTAAATTAGTATGATAGATGGTGCGACAGTGAATGTTGAATTTGGGTTAATATAACACTGCAAAAGATTAACATTTGGAAATTTTGTGGGATTTTCAAATATTGTCTAACTAGTTCAGTTTTTTTTTTAGACAAAATTTAGAACTATATTCGTATTTTCATTAAAATGGCATATTCAATATTTTTTATAATATATATAATAACTAAAGATAATTCGACTCGCGTGAAGTGAAAGAAAATACTTGGACTAGAAAGAATTTTTTTATGCTAGTGTATAACGATTTTTTTATCAAAGATTATGGAAATCGAAACAGAATGGTTTAAACAAATCCAATTGGCTATGATCGTCGTAAAATAATGAACCATTATAATTATTCGAAATAGAAAAACGAGGAACATTATCACGCATGATTTTGAAGCCATCACATTTAAAGCTTCCAATATACAGTCGTAAGTGGACTGTGCATCTCTTAAGGGTATATATTTTAATGTCAGTTTTTTCAATAGAGCGTGAATCACCTTGTTTTTCCGTGTATTTGTTACACGCGGTTCCCTACGATTTTTTGAGATGATAGGAATAATAAGCTGTGTTTCCTTTTTTTTATCTTTAACTTGTAATATATTTGAATATTAAACTTAACACCGATTCAGAGTCTGTCTCTTATACACATCTAGATGTGTATAAGAGACAGGTAGTACCTCAGTGACATCTTATGGAGGGCCACTATAGTGGCCCGTAGAGATGTGTATAAGAGACAGGTAGTACCTCAGTGACATCTTATGGAGGGCCACTATAGTGGCCCGTAGAGATGTGTATAAGAGACAGGTAGTACCTCAGTGACATCTTATGGAGGGCCACTATAGTGGCCCGTAGAGATGTGTATAAGAGACAGGTAGTACCTCAGTGACATCTTATGGAGGGCCACTATAGTGGCCCGTAGAGATGTGTATAAGAGACAGGTAGTACCTCAGTGACATCTTATGGAGGGCCACTATAGTGGCCCGTAGAGATGTGTATAAGAGACAGGTAGTACCTCAGTGACATCTTATGGAGGGCCACTATAGTGGCCCGTAGAGATGTGTATAAGAGACAGGTAGTACCTCAGTGACATCTTATGGAGGGCCACTATAGTGGCCCGTAGAGATGTGTATAAGAGACAGGTAGTACCTCAGTGACATCTTATGGAGGGCCACTATAGTGGCCCGTAGAGATGTGTATAAGAGACAGGTAGTACCTCAGTGACATCTTATGGAGGGCCACTATAGTGGCCCGTAGAGATGTGTATAAGAGACAGGTAGTACCTCAGTGACATCTTATGGAGGGCCACTATAGTGGCCCGTAGAGATGTGTATAAGAGACAGGTAGTACCTCAGTGACATCTTATGGAGGGCCACTATAGTGGCCCGTAGAGATGTGTATAAGAGACAGGTAGTACCTCAGTGACATCTTATGGAGGGCCACTATAGTGGCCCGTAGAGATGTGTATAAGAGACAGGTAGTACCTCAGTGACATCTTATGGAGGGCCACTATAGTGGCCCGTAGAGATGTGTATAAGAGACAGGTAGTACCTCAGTGACATCTTATGGAGGGCCACTATAGTGGCCCGTAGAGATGTGTATAAGAGACAGGTAGTACCTCAGTGACATCTTATGGAGGGCCACTATAGTGGCCCGTAGAGATGTGTATAAGAGACAGGTAGTACCTCAGTGACATCTTATGGAGGGCCACTATAGTGGCCCGTAGAGATGTGTATAAGAGACAGGTAGTACCTCAGTGACATCTTATGGAGGGCCACTATAGTGGCCCGTAGAGATGTGTATAAGAGACAGGTAGTACCTCAGTGACATCTTATGGAGGGCCACTATAGTGGCCCGTAGAGATGTGTATAAGAGACAGGTAGTACCTCAGTGACATCTTATGGAGGGCCACTATAGTGGCCCGTAGAGATGTGTATAAGAGACAGGTAGTACCTCAGTGACATCTTATGGAGGGCCACTATAGTGGCCCGTAGAGATGTGTATAAGAGACAGGTAGTACCTCAGTGACATCTTATGGAGGGCCACTATAGTGGCCCGTAGAGATGTGTATAAGAGACAGGTAGTACCTCAGTGACATCTTATGGAGGGCCACTATAGTGGCCCGTAGAGATGTGTATAAGAGACAGGTAGTACCTCAGTGACATCTTATGGAGGGCCACTATAGTGGCCCGTAGAGATGTGTATAAGAGACAGGTAGTACCTCAGTGACATCTTATGGAGGGCCACTATAGTGGCCCGTAGAGATGTGTATAAGAGACAGGTAGTACCTCAGTGACATCTTATGGAGGGCCACTATAGTGGCCCGTAGAGATGTGTATAAGAGACAGGTAGTACCTCAGTGACATCTTATGGAGGGCCACTATAGTGGCCCGTAGAGATGTGTATAAGAGACAGGTAGTACCTCAGTGACATCTTATGGAGGGCCACTATAGTGGCCCGTAGAGATGTGTATAAGAGACAGGTAGTACCTCAGTGACATCTTATGGAGGGCCACTATAGTGGCCCGTAGAGATGTGTATAAGAGACAGGTAGTACCTCAGTGACATCTTATGGAGGGCCACTATAGTGGCCCGTAGAGATGTGTATAAGAGACAGGTAGTACCTCAGTGACATCTTATGGAGGGCCACTATAGTGGCCCGTAGAGATGTGTATAAGAGACAGGTAGTACCTCAGTGACATCTTATGGAGGGCCACTATAGTGGCCCGTAGAGATGTGTATAAGAGACAGGTAGTACCTCAGTGACATCTTATGGAGGGCCACTATAGTGGCCCGTAGAGATGTGTATAAGAGACAGGTAGTACCTCAGTGACATCTTATGGAGGGCCACTATAGTGGCCCGTAGAGATGTGTATAAGAGACAGGTAGTACCTCAGTGACATCTTATGGAGGGCCACTATAGTGGCCCGTAGAGATGTGTATAAGAGACAGGTAGTACCTCAGTGACATCTTATGGAGGGCCACTATAGTGGCCCGTAGAGATGTGTATAAGAGACAGGTAGTACCTCAGTGACATCTTATGGAGGGCCACTATAGTGGCCCGTAGAGATGTGTATAAGAGACAGGTAGTACCTCAGTGACATCTTATGGAGGGCCACTATAGTGGCCCGTAGAGATGTGTATAAGAGACAGGTAGTACCTCAGTGACATCTTATGGAGGGCCACTATAGTGGCCCGTAGAGATGTGTATAAGAGACAGGTAGTACCTCAGTGACATCTTATGGAGGGCCACTATAGTGGCCCGTAGTAGCGAAAGGGTTAACGAAATTGCTTACTACGGGGGGTTTGGAATTTCGGTTGTTTTGTCCAAGCGTAATTTATAAAGATTCCGTTATACAACGGAACACACCTTGACTCTAAAAAAATGCCTACTACCCTCAATGTTGACTTCGAATAGAAACAACGGAACTTGTCATTTTCTAGGCAATTTCGGCGATGAACTATCAACGTGACGGCCTGATGCCGCTGTATAATCAAGGCGGCGCTCCAAATTACTATCCGAACAGCTTCAATGGACCAAAAGAGTGTCCAGCAGTTCGCTCGCCACAATTCTATGTGAGCGGAGACGTGGACCGCTACGAACCTCAGAACGAGGACGATTTTGGCCAGGCGACCACATTCTGGAGAGAAGTCCTCGACTCTGATGCTAAGACCAGGCTGGTGAACAACATGGTGAGCAGCCTGCGCAACGCGTCCACCTTCATCGCAGAGAGAGCAGTGAAGAACTTCTCCGAGGTGGACGTTGACCTTGGTAGAAGACTGACCGAAGGTCTCCGCAAGTCCGGGATGAGGCTCAGTGTTTTCGGCAAGACAGCCAGCTTGTGAACAGATACCATTACCCCTCTCTTCTTTTGTACCGCATCGTCTCTAGAGCTCCACCTCTGTAATTATCGCTGTTTAATTTAACGGGTTGCTCGTGTACACCATGTATTTTGTTAACATTTTACACAAATAAATAAAATGATTATTTTCGTTAAAACATTATTTTACTTTTTAATCAAATTCTGATGTTAGTCCATCTGATTTTATTTAATCTTTAGATGACGTACCTTATTATTATTAGTATTACAATAATGTCTATCGTACTGGCATAATTTCTATAATCTATGTATTTTCTGGCTACGCCGCGACTCCTTTGACTCAAATTCGCGGAAGAGAATTCATAATACAATGACATGACTTCTTTGCTGAATATAATACATTGTAACGTGCGGAGAATCTTCCCACGAATTTCTTATATTCCTTTCTGAAGGCATACGTCAGGCTGGCGCCAGTCAGCCGAGGGTACATTTGTATATCGCGAGTCGAGTACCTCCAAGGGGGTACGACGACGAACGTCTACCATTTTCGCTACCATTTTTCCAGAGAAAATCTGACTATATAAAGGGCCCAAACGCGTCCGGGAATCGGGCTAGTTTCGAGTCATTCGTCGACGTGGAAACGCTAGTGAGATCGAGTATCAATTCTCCTTCGAACAATCTAATAGGTAATTAGATATCAAATCAGAAACCCCCGCCGACTCAGTGCGAAAAGCTGAGAGCGCGTTAGAGTCCGCGAACACTTACATACATTTGTAAAACCCAAACGGGTAATAAAATAGCTTTTACCAGTTTTCTTTGGTTACAAGTTTAATTATTTCCATCTCCTATTTCGAAGCAGTAGTTGGTATAACCCACCAAGATATGAGTCACTTTTTCAAAAAAATCGAGTTAATGGTAACACTAATTACAATTGAACGGTATCTTTTCATTTTTAAAAAATTTGCAATCAGTAAGTTGAGAACTATTGAGATTTGTTCGAGAGAAGTTTTGCTAATTAACGGTATAAAAAACATGTTTATTTTGAAAGTGGCATAAGTCGCTGTACTCAAGAAATTAATTGCGGGGCTTAGTGTAAAAAAAAAAGAAACGTGTGATAAGTTTGTGTGAAGTATTGTTTTGAATTATTTTCAGTATTTTTAAAAAAGTTG